GGCGCGGGAAGGCTCCCTGTCCCTCCGCGTCACCTCGCGTCACCCCGCCCCGCCTGCTTCCCAGAGCCCTGCGCCCCGCCCCGCGCGCAGGCGCAGGGCCGCTTTTCGGGTCCGCCATTTTTCAAGATTTGAATTTCCCCTGGCAAAGCGAGAGAAGCAAAATACCCGGATGGTGATCGCTGGCCTTTTCGCGCCAATACTGTAAGTTCTCACAACCTTGAGGGGTGGGTACTGGCATCACCCCCACGTTCCAAATCGTGCTGGAGACCGCTGGGCGCTGCCCCGTCATCCTCACTGCCAGATGCAGGCTGTAATGCGCTGCTGTCCAGGATCTTGGGGTGACAACAGATGATTTTTCAGTTTCTCTCATCTTTATTTCATCTTTACATTCACCAACCTCTAGCCGAAATTTGTCCTTTCCTACAATTACAGGTGTAGGCCGCAAAGCACAGATCGTTAGCTTGGTGACTGTGTCACCAAAGGAAATGAGAGATCATTTTAGAGCATGTAGCTTTTGTTGTAGCTATCCTGAAATTAACTAAATTAGAAGACCTACTGGCAGGCAGAATAACTGCTTTGAAATTACTGCAGTTTTTTAACCTTCCTGTAGATCCTGTAATTTAACTTACTAGTAAAGAAGTACATCCATTACTATGTCACACATTTTCAAAAGTATTTTAATAACAGCCTTTCAACCTATTAAATTTATGTTGTAATTCTGTTTTACTTTATGCATTTGGAAGCATTTGTTTGAGACAGGCCGAAGAGTCCTGTCATGCAGCCAGAAGACAGAAGCCCTCACCTGTAGTTCTGTGTCACCATCTGCCCTAAGTGACCTTGGCCATTCACATCACCTCTCTGGCCCCCAGTCCTTCTCCTGTAAAATAAGGAAGCCGAGCTGCTGGCTTCCAGGAGCCTTGTCCACATTCAGCCATTCTCTCCTCAGAGTTCAAGAATCACTGTGGTTGCTCCAGGCTCCTTGGGCAGCCAGGTGGCCCAGACTGAGCTCTCCTGCTGGTGGTTTCCCAGGTTACAGCCCTCAGACTGGCATCTCCCCTTATCTGCAGAAGGGCAGCAAGGGTGGTCGGGGCACAATGAGTAGTTGTCATAACTGCTACAGGCCAAAGAAAACACCATGTTACCAGGTGACAGTGGCTCCTGCTTAAATGCATACAGACCCAGGGAGCGGGAGAGTCTAAGCATGTCTTAACCCTCTTAGCCAGGAGATCGTCATGCTTTGCAGGGCCTCCCCCGAAGACCCCAGAACCAGAAAGGGGTGGTGGGGCGATGCTGTGAAGAACTTTGAGTGGCATGTAACAAGGGTCTTGTGGCAGCTTGGGGTACAGAGGAGCTAGGCCATAAAGTACCCAGCCTGGTCTTCCTGGTGGACGTGAGAAGTGGGTTTGATTACATGTTGCTTTCAGCTTGCACAAGGGCTGAGGCGGACTCTGCCTAGCAGCCAGGGAGGAGTCACTTTCCATGCCCTTCCTGGATCTCCTTGTCTATCAAGTTGACTGTTTGACTCCTGTCCCCGGCTCTTCTTCATGCTGGCTGGCAGATAGGAAGCTCAGGCTAGCACTGGCTGCATGGGGCCCCAAAGGCCTGGCTCTTCGCACCAAGGAGTCAGGGCCCAGATGGTTTCAGGGAAGAACCCAGAGACACCGGATGGGGCCTCAACTGGTGTCCCACCCGGAATCCAGCTGAATAGGGAAGTGCCAGGGCCTGAGAGGAAATGACAGCCAAGCAACCCAGGCACAGGAGGGCAGGAAGACAGATGATGCTTGGGGAGCTCGCAGGACCACACGAGTATGGCACTTTGATGTCTGGCCGAGAGATTGGGACATGATTGTGTGTGGAGAGCCAGCCACTGAAGGGTGCTAAACAGGTGCTGACGCGATCTGACCTGGGGGTACCTGAGGAAGATGCTGGGGGCTGCTGTGTGCAGACCGTGTTAGCGGTGGCCAGCCTAGAGGAGGGAACCCTGGGGCAGGGCAACCCCTGGACCCAGAGGCTCCTTAGCAGGGCGGGGCTTCAGGGGGGAGGTGTGCGATGGCGCCACGTGCTGAGATGAAAGCTTGTGGTTGGGAAGGCGATGCTTCAGTTCATTCATGGAAATGCTGGTCCTCCTTAACAACAAGCCTCCAAAGCAGGATGGCAGCAAGAAAGCTCCACCTGAGGCCCAGTAGGGCCCTTCCTAGATGTTACTGGTGGGCCCTAGGGCCAGTTTGAGAAATGAAATGGCAAATAGGAGCAATGAAAGGGTCAGGAAAGAGAGCAAGGGTGCTGGCTTTGCGCTCAAATCAAAATGCAGCACATCTTCACTGAGCACCAGATAAGAGTGCAGAGAATCGGACCCTGCCCCGTTTCAGGGCCTGAAGTGCAGGAAGGGAGGTGGACATTGTGCCGCAGAAACAAATGGTGCAAAGTGGTCTACGTAGATAAGAGCTCTTTCAGTCCACACAAGTACTCTGCAGGGTGGTGCTGGGAGCCTCCCCCTTCTGCAGGTATGCAAACTGAGGCCCAAAAAGGTTAAGACCCAAGTTCACACAGTTAGTAGGTGGGGGAGCTGGGGTTGGAACACAGTCTCTCTTGTCCCCATGCCTGTCTACCACCTTGGCTTTGAGTCATTTTCAGAGCAATGAATCTTTTCTCTCACCGGTATTAATACATTTTTCAGCTACCAGGCCAACTCATGGCACAGCTGGCCCCAAAGCATTTGACAGTCCAGGATAAGCACACGTTGTTTTTAAATCGTCTGTCTGCTTCTTTGACTACAGGATGGAAGGTTTTATTGTGGGCCAAGGAAGAACATGATTTTGGAAGGTGCAGCACTTGAGGGGAGGGCCGGGGGAGATCCAGGGCACCAAGCCTAGGTGGCAGCTCCCTGTGCTCCCAGGCCCCCCACCCAGGAAGCGGAGGGGATCCCTTGCTTCCCTTCCCTCTCCCTCCGCCATCCCTTGCCTGAGATTCTAGAACTCAGACCACAGCTCATAGTCTCTAATTTAACTGGATATTTGGTTAAAAGGACTTTGGGGCTGGTCTGGAAACTTCCATGTTTATAATACCACTGAGGTGGGAAAACACCACTGAGGTGTTCTGAATTTTCACAACAGACCTAGGAAAGATTCCCAACTCTAAATGCAGTGGCTTTAAGGGAGCTAGGATTTTTCTAGTACACAGATGAGAGAACAGCAGAGGTGTCAGGAGAAAGGGGCATGGAACCTTTAGATGAAAGAGGATTCTAGAAGGTGAATGGACTGTGGGTATCACTTCACTCTTATTTCTTTTTATTCTCCGACGAAAACTGTTGCTGCATCCCGTGGCCGAGAGCTGGGACGATGGAGGCTCTTCTCGGGATGGGTTTCCTTCTAACCGCACTCTTGAACCATGCTCTCTTTGCAGCCACAAAGGAAAAAGGCAGAACAGTCCTCCCCTGGCGCCAACCAATCAGCAGAGCCCCCGCCCTCCTCCCACCTGCCACCTCCACTCCGGGGCAAGGTCACAGCATCTGAGTAGGTGATCACGGGGACTTCTTCCTGCTGGCTCAGCTGGGAGACCGAGGAGTGTTTGGCAAAAACTGTTCAGCTGAATTCGGAGATAACTGTGGAGGCAGCTGCTCTTCTCACAGAGGCTTCTCGATGCAGCCTGAGTCGGGCCGGGCCCTCTTCCACGTGGCCGTGGCCAGCTGCCTCTGCGCGGCCGCCATCCACACCGGTGCTTTTGACGGCGTCTCCGTCCAGGTGGGCTTGGAGCACTATGCTGAGGCACCCGTGGCCGGCCTCCCTGCCTTCCTAGCCATGCCCTTCAACTCGCTCGTTAACTTGGCCTACATGCTCCTGGGAGCGTACTGGCTGCAGAGAAAGCCCAGCGCCCCCGGGTGCCCTGCAGAGGTGCGGAGGGCTTGTTACCTGAAGGATGTCTTCGCTGGCATGGCCCTAGTCTATGGCCCCGTCCAGTGGCTGCGCGTGGCATCACAGACCCGGCCCGCCGCTGTGCTGGATCAGTGGCTCACCCTGCCCATCTTCGCGTGGCCGGTTGCCTGGTGCCTCTACCTGGACAGGGGCTGGAAGCCCTGGTTGTTCCTGGCTGTCGAGGGCCTCTCCCTGTGCAGTTACGGCCTTGCCCTTCTGCACCCCTGTGGGTTTGAGTTCACGCTGGGGGCACACATCGCAGCTGCTGTGGGCCAGGCCCTGTGCACCCAGGGGCGCCGGGGCAGTCCTTCCTCAGGAATGTACTTGGCTCTAGGCGTGCTCTCCTGCTTGGGCTTTGTGGTCCTCAAGCTGTATGACCATCAGCTCGCACAGTGGTGTCTCTTCCAGCGGCTCACAGGCCACTTCTGGTCCAAAGTCTGTGATATGCTCCAGTTCCACTTTGCCTTCTTGTTTCTGACCAATGTAAACACTTGCCGAAGACACCCTACTGCAGGGAAGATGCATTAATGTGTGGAAATAAGCTGCTTACAGTCGCTGTCCCCTTCCCCCCGGCCCTGACGTCAAAATGGACCATCAGATGACATCCTGTTTTCAGTGTTAGATTTCCTGGGTGGAATAAGATAGGATGGTTACGTGGAAGGCTGGCCCTTCCTTTGAAGTTACGGGCTTAGATATTACGAATATGAATATCCAATGTTATGAAAATTTATGCTCTCTGCAACTTACTCTGAAAGAATTAAACCCAATATCTAGGTGCTCGGGATGCGGGGTTCACTGTGCTATTCTTGTAGCTTTTCTATAGTTTGAAAATTTTTAAAATAAAATGTGAGGGGAAGTGACCCCCAGAAATCCATCAAACTGGCAGTTGTCCGCTCTGGGATGTTAGCATGGGCCGGTGACAATGAGGCAGGGTAGCATCTGGCCAGTGTGCCAGGCCAGGCAGTGGGGTTACTAGTGAGTGTCCCCAGACGTGCCTGGGTTCAGGGAGACTGAGTCATATTAAACACATGCCTAGCAGACTGATGGGGAAATCCAAAGACCAGAACACTTATTCACCGTGACATCTGTGCCTGCCAAGCTGACCGCAGGTCACGTGGAAGCCATGTCACCTCAGATCCTTTGTGGAAAGAGGCAGAGTACGAAGAGATGAAGAAACACAAAAATGTCAGAAGTTGAATTCTCAACAGAATGTTGCTTAGTGGGTCTACCCTCAGAGCCAGGGTATGGCGTAGATGTCCTTAGCAGCTCAAATTATGGAAGTGTCAAGTGTCTGTCACCACTGGAAAAACCCAGGCCCTTAGGAGCCATGATCCTTGGTGTCATCTCCTGGAGTTGGCCTCTTTAAACCCTGAAGCATGCTTCCCATGCAGATGACAATGTCTGAACCAGGGAGCCCTGGGGATGACACTGAGACCCAAGAGATGCTGAGGATGCTGCATTTGGATCACCCTTTGGGGGCCATCTCCCTCTGCATTCTTCCTCCCATTTGGGTTACTGTGTTTTTAGACACTTGTTTCATCCCCTGTCACTTGAAGCGCATCTGGTCTTTAAAGATGAAGGTGAGGGCAGAGGGGAGGGGACTCCCTGTCCCTGTTGAATGACATCTCAGGAGGGGCAGCCCACGCACATCTGCTCAGTGCCCCCTGAGGCCCCTCACCATGGAGCCTTGAGGGTTTGCATGTGGACTGTTGCTATGACTCTGAGATGTTTTTGAAACTGGGTACCTGGGCCGGATGTTCTGTCCCAGCTGGGCACATCCCAAGTGGGTGATGAGTCTCAACCAAGCTGTCACCTGAAAATCCAGCGGGTGAGTGTTGCCTCTGCCTGGGCGGCAGCCAACCAGCCTGCACCCCTCCCCCAAGGGCCGGGGACCCAAGTGCCCACTGGAGTATAAAGAGCAGGACCGTGCTGGCTTGGGGAAGCACCTTTGTTGCATTCCAGTGGTCTTGAAGGCTCTACGTGTCCTGGAAGAGGAGAAAGGCGATGGGCATCTGCAGAGAGGCTTCCCTGATCTTGAAGAGGCCAGAGGGAGGGGAAAGACTAGGCTTCTTGCTTGGGTGGCTCAGTTAGCGATGGGGATGGGAGGGTGGACGGCTACCGAGGGGCCAGGCGCTTCGCTCGGTGCCTGAGTGGCCCTCCAGCCCGCTCGCTCTCTTTGTAGCTGTCTCCCTCATTGCCAGAGTGGGGCTGCTGAGAGCTGCTGGTGCTTTGCATTGCCTTGTCGTTCCACACCTTTGACCACAAGCACTTAGAAGCTATTTTGATTGTTTTGGTTTTCTTTTCTTTTGATCAAAACCGATTTAATAAATAACCCTGAGAACCTTCTGGGTTTCATTCCACTCCTGTGTCAGGCTGGGTCCCCACAGGAAACAGGTGGTGTGCTCAGATTACGGTGATTCAGAACTGTTTCAAGGAGAACTCTGCACACCACCATGGAGGGGCACAGGGAGTCTGTGCCCCTCCAGGGTGGGGTGGACTCCACCCAAAGGAGAGACTCCTGTGGAAGGGTCACCTTGGGGCAGGAGTGGCGGGGAGCAGAAGCCCAACCCCACTGCCTCCTGCCTGGCCTCCCATCCAAGGTTGTCAGATGAGATGCAAGACAACAAATAATGCTTTAGTACCAGCGTGCCTCAAATGTCACATGACACCTGCTTATACTAAAGCAGTGTTCATCGTTTATCTGAAATTCAGATTTAAGTGAGTGTCCTGTCTTTACTGGCTAAATCAGACAGCCCTACATTGAGCCAACCCAACCAAAGCCAGAGACCTGGAACCTTCTTTCTCTGCCCCCTGGTTTTTTTGTTTTTGTTTTTAAACAACTTGACTGTGATCAGTGCTTCTCAAAAGGGTGGCTTCTGGGGCCAGGACCTCAGACGGCCTCAGCCCTGCCCTGTGATTCAGAGTACCAGCGATGCCCTGTTCATCCCATCGCTCCCTGTTCGGGTACCTGCTGTTTTACTATCATTGTCTCCATCTTTTTTTTTTTCTTTTTGGTGAGGGGAGGTAATTCAGTTTATTTATTTATTTATTCTTAGCAGAGGTACTTGGGATAGAACCCAGGACCTCATGCACACTAAGCATGTGCTCCCTTGAGCTATACCCTCCCCCCTCATCTCCATCTTGTCCCTGAACAGCAGAGAAGCCAGTGCTTACCTGATGGGCCCTCTCCTCGCATTTGGCCTAACGGTTGAGAGGCTCCAAAGCTGGGAGGGATGTTAGAAACCATCTGCACCAACCCCCTCATTTCACAGAAACCGAAACTATAGATGTGCAACTTTGCCGAAAGCTTCAACACTGAGCATCAGAAACAGGCGTCCGGCCTCACGGCCCAAAGCCCCAGCTGCTGTGTCGTTCCACCTCCCCCTCCTCTCCCTGGAAGCAGTGGCAGTGGTGTTGCTTTCCCATAAGTGGACTGGGGATTTGCCCCCCATTGAAAATAGTGGTGTTGGCTTCGCTCTGACTGTAGATAGTACAGGCGGGTGGCAGGGAACAACAAGCCGCCCCAGAGGACCATCAGGATGCTGGTTGCCCCCACCTGGGATACGGGCTCCCCTGCGCTTGTCTGTCCTACACCACAGTGATGGGCACAGATGTGGCCCCAGGCCCCATGGTGCTTCAGTGACGCGTTGTGTGCTCAGCTAGGGCTGCTACACTGGGCTCCCTCACCCTGTCCTCACCCAGCACGCTGATTCCTTGCCAGTTTTGCTCACCTTTCTCCAGGTCTGTCTCAGGAGGTGACTGAAGGGCACCCGGGTCGCCTTTCCTGTTGGCAGCGATGGGAGAACCCGCCCTGGGTTTGCAGACTTTTTCATTTTGTGTCCATATGATGGGGGCAAAGCACAATGTCGTTGTGACTTTAACTCATACTCCCTCCACATACACGCTAGTGCGTATGTGTTTGTTGTAGTTAGGGTTTGTTATTCTGTAAGTTACTGATTTATATCCTTTCCTCATTTTTCGACTTTTTCTTCCAAAAGTCTCCAGGAGCTTGTTTTAGATGATAAATATTAAGCATCCATCTGTCATACAAATGTTTTCTTAATGTTGTCTGTCTTTTGACTTTGTGGCTGTCTTAAAGGAACGTGATTGAAGATGGACACAGGGATGTCTATATGCCTGTCTTGTCTTCAGAGCTTTTGGGTTTCTCCCATACCTGCTTCAGGTATTTTTTCATTAGAAAATTTTAATTACAACATTGTGGAAAATAATACTTATTGTAAAGTCATTAAAATTTACATTTAGAAATAAAGCAGGGCCGCTGTCATCATTGTTAATGTGATGGTTCACCAAACTGGACGGAACTGGAGCGCATCACCTTCGCGTTTCACCGTCAAAACCCTGTGTTGCGTGTTTCATCGCAGCTGGGGCCGACAAAGGAGATTTTGTGTCTCGGCACTTAAAATCAGGCACACCGCGCAGGTAAGCATGTCCCTCTTGCCTCTAAAGACTTCCAGGAGTAGAAATCTTGGGATCAATAGAACCAAGGCAATTGGTGTTCCCAGGCGAGCACCCAAAGAATCATGTGATTGGCAAGTGCCTCTTTCGTGTCTAAGTGGATGTGTGGATTCCCGGTGTTTTCCACCCCAGTCTAGTTCTGCCATCCACATGCTGGCTGATTTCCGGGGTCCAGCCCTTGGGGGTCTGGAGAGCTACCCAAGCCCACCTGCTGTGTGCAGCCCCGGCCATTTGAGCACAGCAGGTCCTTCTAACTGTTGTCATATGTCTTTGCTCTTTTCTTCTGTTTCCTGCTCTTTCACTTTGAGCTTTGCCCTCTGTTTCTCTTCAGAACTGCTGACTGCTGGTTTTACTTCTGCCCCTCCTTTCCTGGCCCTATCTGACTTCCACTTGGGGCCTCTGCCCCAGTGTCCACACTGCCACCATCTCGGCCATCTCAGGTCTTCTCTTTAGAAAGACGTGAAACCTACCAGGTTAAATGGGACTCCCATCCCTTCCCTCCCACCACAGAGGTCACCACCATCCGGAGTTGAGTAGAGCCCACTACCAGGCCTGCCCTCACACCTTTCATCCATGCAGGGATATGGACCAGCAAGATACACTGCTGTCTTGCATGTGTTGTAACCTTCTTTAAATGCACCACGTGGTCCAGCTCCATCTCCTGCTGGCTGCAGGACCAGATCTGTGGGAGTTTTCCCTGGGTCTCCCGGGGTGCCCGTCAGGCTGGTTCCTCCTTTGGTGCTGCTGTCTGGTGGCACGCAGCACATCTACACTCCAGCTGAACTCGAAGTTGCCAAATCCCTTACCACAGTGGTTGCTGAAATGACTGTCCCCCAGAGTTTGTGTTGCTCCGTGACTTCACCAGCACTTGGTACTGGAGAGGATGTACTGTCTGCTGATCTGATGGTGGTGAACTTGATACCATTTCCTTCTCGTTTGCCTTTCTTGGCTTAAAATTGAGGTTGCCTGGGAAAATGAAACATAAATTACCATGTGATCCAACAATTCCACTTCTGCGTATTTACCCAAAAGGATC